TTTTTTCGTATTTTTTTTTTTTTTTTTTTTTTTTTTTTTTTTTGCTGAGACCTTCCTTGGTCCTTGCACGGGCTGGCCACCCGGGACCTGGGCGGCCCGGCTGATAGCCTAGGTTTTTTGAACTTTCTCCTTGATTTAAATTTTCTTTTTTCTCCAAAAGCTTGAATTATCTTATCCCCTACTTCTTTCTCGTTTTTCTGATTTATTTTATTTTTATTGATTCTAAAAATTTGAATTTTTCTGCGGCACCTCTATAGCTTTTTAGGACTTAGTCATTTCGGCTTACGGTGCATATTTTGACCCCTTTGGGGTAACGAAGTGCTGCCGAAATTTCTGTTTTCTCTGCTTGGTCTTTTTTCAGCACATTTTGACCCCGTGGGGGTAACGAAGTGCTGGCCAATTTTTCCATTGTTTTTTACTTGGTCATTCTTCTTGACGGCACACTCGACCCCATGGGGGTAACGAAATGTTGCCGAAATTTTTGAAAAATTCAAAACTTTGTCTTCTCTTCACTCTCCTCCACCCCCTCATTTATCTATTTCTTTACTTATTTTTCTGAAAATTACAATTTGTGGCATTTTGAAACTTAGTGTGCTTCTCTTGGTCTCTCCTTCCTCTTGGCATATTTTTGACCCCATGAGGACCTTGACACATGGTCGAGGTCAGTGCCAGTCTACGTGAAGTGCAAGTTAACCTTGCCACACGAGGAAGTGTTTGTGGCTGCCTCCTACCTGGAGGGGAGTGCAGCAAGGTGGCTAAGTGGGTTAGGACAACTGCAGGGGTACAGTCATTACTTCCGCGCTTGGGCTGTCAACCAAAAATTGGATGACTTCCTCGAGCTGGTGGAGGAAAGGTGGCATGATCCTCAGGAGGCCCAAAAGGCCACTGATGCGATCCTGACTTTGAGCTCTAAAACGTTCCAGTTAGTGCCACAAACACAGTGGAACGCCTGTGTGACTGGAGTGCGCTATGACCCCCAGGTCTTGCTTACCACTTACCTGAGATGTCTTCCCATGCCAATCCGGAATCAGTTGGCAGGTGAGGCCCGGATCACCATACACAACTTCCCCTCATTCAGCAAGAAGGCCCTAGACCTAGAGGCAAAGATAGGGCATGGGCACCAACACACGACGGATGGTAGGAAGAAGGCATTGCCTCCCAACTGGACGGCGAAGGGTCGCATTATGTTCGTCCATAACGATGGCTAGACCATCGAATTAGATGACGACTTCCAGGAGGGAGTAGGTTCAGAGGCGGGCAGCGTAGAGGCTTCAGGGGGTGAACCAGTCGCTGCCTCAATCCAGAAAGGTAAGGCGACCGGTAGACGTCGTGGAGGCTCCCGGTCTAGGAGTCAAGTAGACCCCAATGCTCCACCATGGGAGAAAGTGGGTCTCACAGAGAACGTGTGGAGAGACCGTTACACCCGGCAGACTTGTATTCGTTGTGGTCAATATAACCATAACCAGTTCAAGTGTCGAAACAAGAACGTGACGGAAAAGATCCCGCCTACAATGGGGTAGGCATCGGTCTCCTCCACATCCGAGGGAAGCAATGTGGCCAGCAGTTCTGGAACTGCTTCGGGAAACACATTGGGCCAGTAGGAATGGTAGTTGTTTCTACTAGGGTTGAGGTGGTGGACACACCCTCACCATCTCGAGAGATGGCCCCAGCTACTGACTCCGTTGTTGTCCCGCACACACATTCGGACCCATCGACCCTCTGTTCGATGAATGTGTTCGAGTCCTTCGAGGAGCTAGAGGAAAGGTGGTCTAGATCGGACCCGCTAGCTTCTTGGGCGGCTATGGCCAAAGCCCCTAAGGGTGAGTTGTTCGTCAGCGAGGTAGACATAGGCGGCCGCAAGGCTGGGGCCTTTTACGATACTTGCTCGACGAGGAACTTATTACAGGGGCAAGTGCGGCGATCTAACGCAAGGTTTAATCATTAGATCTCAAGTAGAAGAATCTGCCTAGGAGGTAGTGTCTCCAATGGACCAACGCTCTATAGAGGGCATAGAGCTCACGCTCATATGTGGACTTTGCTAGTTTTTGAAATGACATCTTCTTACTCATGTACTCGATAGGTCTCAACTTTGGCCCCTCCTTTTGCGCAAGGACCGCGCCTATGCCATATTGGCTTAGCGTCTGTGGTCACGAGAAATGGCTTATCAAGATCTGGAACTTTAACTTCGTAGTGTGTCAGAGCATACTTCAGTTTCCTAAAGCTTGCTTCACACTTTCCAATCCACTCCCAAGGGGTGTCAAGTCAAGTTAGATCAATTAATGGGGAAGCTATAGTGCTATAGT